GGCCTGTAAGGCTTATTTTATGCAAAAAAAAAAAAAAAAAATGAATGATGAACTATTCAGTAAGAAAGCGAATTATTCTGAAACCAATTCACCTGCATTTTCAAGCACTTTATCCAAAATCCAAGCATTTTTCAAACCTTGAAAACACTACATTAAAATTCAAGCATTTTCAAGGAATTGAAGCACCCGTACGAACACTGTTAGTCTTTGCATGTTCGCTTTGTAAACACTGGGTCGGTGCTTCCGCCTATGTCACATGACCTTTCAACGCGATTACGTAATGCGTAACCCAGGCTAAAGCAAGACGAGCATCATTTCGCTAGATAAGAGCCTTATTCCTCGGCTGGGATCCTGTAGAGCCCTTTGAAACTGCATTGAAACTGCAATTTGGAAGTTCAAACAACTGAGCACCAGTCCACTATATGGAGAAAAATCCTGGAATGTTTTCCTCAAAAACCTTAATTTCTTTCCGACTGAAGAAAAAAAGACATGAACATCTTGGATGACACAGGGGTGAGTAAATGATCAGGAAATTTTTATTCTGGATTGAACTAATCCTTTAAAACAGTGACTCGCCGCCACCTACTGGCGCTTTTACTTTCATATTTAGAATATCATTCCATTTTTTAAATAATTTAATATTTCAATACGAAGAAAAAAAAACATTAATACCACTTTATTGTCATTATTTATGCAATGCAGATTCAAAATATTTCTTTCTAAATCTACTTTTATGTAATGTCTATTCAATGCTTTTCTCATTTAACACAATGGCTTTAATGGCTTTAAATTATATTTTGTGGAGTAATATCTCAGCCAAAATTGATGTGTGATTAATTAGATTAACTAATCGGCACATCATGTAGTTAATTAGATAAAAAAAAAAGATTGCTTGACAGCCCTACCAAAGACACATACAAAGAGAACTGTAAAAAATGTCGGTACGTACCTTTTGACGTCACTGTTCGGTATGGTTTCGCTCCTTGAATGCTCTCATTTCCCGAGTTGTGCTTTTAAGTCGGAATGTGATGTCCGTTTCAGAGAACCAGAGGACAAATATTTCAATTGATCGCTCAGGCATGGCACCGAAATGAGGCACCGAAAGCTGCGTTCGGATTCGGTTCTAGTACATACCGGTTACATAGGTGCCATATTGGTACCGGGTTTCAGTACCCAACCCTAGTCACACATAAACAGCTAATCACGTGCGCGACATTAGGGATGGGGATCGTTTACATATTATCGATACCGATACTTATCGATACTGTTAACGATGCTATTTGGTGCAAAAACATATGAAGTGAAAAGTTGTTGAAAATTTCAAGTTATTTTATTACTGCTGAACTTTAGCAACTGTATTAAAGTTCTTCAGTCAAGATCAGCGAGTTATTTTTCTCTTTGCGTTTTATTTTATTAACATTAAATGAATAGTTCACCCAAAAATGAAAATTGTGTCATCGTTTACTTACTCTCAAGTTGTTTTAAACCTGAATGAGTTTCTTTCTTCTGTTGAACACAAAAGAAGACATTTTGAAGAATGTGGGAAACTAAACAGTTGCTGGTCCCCAGTGACTTTCTTTTTTTTTCTCCCTACTATTAAAGTCATTGGGGACCAGCAACTGTTTAGTTACCCACATTCTTCAAAATGTCTTCTTTTGTGTTCAGCACAAGAATAAATACATGTTTTGTACAACATGACAGAGTAAATAATGACAGAATTTAAATTTTAGGGTGAACTATCCCTTTAATGACAAGCGGCAGCATGTTTAGTACTGTCCCTTTAAGAGCTGCACGCATCTGTTTTTCTCTCAACTGTTTACTTTCACTTTAGACATAATTAACTGTGTTTATATGTAAACCTTGTGTGTTTTTGACAGTATTAGCACAATCAGACAATAACTAAAATAACTAAGTAATCAGGTGCTGTTGAACCGGCCCGTACGGACGCTTCGGGTGTACGCGCTCTGAATAAACACGTTAGAACAGCACGCAAATGAACCGTTTAACCGGCAAGGCTTTAAAGCAGGCGGAAATAATGTACTTTTGTGATTGCAAATAAGTCTCGTGAGTGTAACTCTACCGAATCAACATTTGATGTGAATGTGTCTCGTGAGTTTTAGTTGGAGCCGCGAGACATAATACAGCGCATTGATTGAGGTAGATGTTGTGTTGCTTGAGGTAGATGTTGTGTTTTGTTAGTAAATGTTTCATTATATTACTAGTGTTGCCTCCTTCATTCACAATTACACTACTGCATATTAGACTTGTGCCGGTTTTCGGTAATGCGATATATCACGGTAATGACTATGCACGATATTGTTATCGTGGGCTCTTCTAAATACCGTGAATAATTATATATTACAAGTTATTCAGAATTTTGAATGCATTTTAAGAATACTTTTCCCATCAACTGGTCAAAATGCACAACATCGCTGTATGCTGCGTGAAAGACGCGTGCGCACTCTGATGTAAACAAGCGCGGACGAGAAGCATATAGAGAAACATGTGAGAGACGCTCTGAATGAAAGCGCACTTTCACTCTCTGACAGCAGATGGCGCTAAACTGCAGAAATAATAATAATAATAATAATTCATTTAAATGAAACCCTGTAAACAAAGCAGCTGCTCTATTTTCTGTTTCTGAATTGTGTTTAAATTATTTAAACAGCCATTCAGATTTGTGTATTTCCTATGATGTTCATCACAGCGCCAAATAATAGGCTATTTATTTTCAAACTTTGTTTACATTTGAATCTGGACTACAACATGCCCTAGATATTGTTTGAAAGTGTTTTGATTCTTTATTGTTCGGTCACACTTTACATTAGGGCTTCATTAGTTAACATTAGTTAACATAAACTGCCAATGAAAAATTCTACTGAACATGAAATAATCGTAGGTATTCCAATATTTAATAACACGTTGTTAAAATTTCTACAGCTTCAGTTTCGGAACTTTCACACTTAGTAACACATACAGCTGTTCCCTCACCACAGTGCAACTGTGAAAAGGGACCCCTTTCAAACAGTGTCGTGTTCCCAACGTTGTTTAAGTGACATACACTGGTATTGCGGTATTTTAAAAATTCATATCATAAGAAAAATAAACACCGGTATTTGGTATGAACCGGTATACCGCCCAGCACTACTTGAGCCCACACTTTCGAATGTTTCACTTTCCGCGATGACTGATTGCACGCAAACACACAGCGCACATGTGCATGGATATCACACGCACGTCGTCGGCCACATCATTCAGTTAAGGGAAATGACAAGCAGCAGCTTCTAATTCGTCGTTAACATTGAAGTATACGGAGATAAAACAACGCAAGTATCGATAACAGTATCATTTGTCCTGAAGCTTATAGGTACTCCGGTATTGGCCCAATTATGTACTGGTCCAAAAAAATACCGGTTCTCGGTACCCATCCCTAGCCGACATGCGGTTGGATCGTTCTTTTCTCTTTACTATTATCATTGGCATATTGTCAAAGTGTCTAATTCTAACGTTTGGTAATATTTCTATTCAAAATCGCGATTCCTCGATTTCTAAAATATAAAATCATAGCAAAACATTACATTTGAATTAATCGATAAAATCTGAAAAAAATCACTCAGCCCTAACCCCTAGTGATTAAAGAGTCAGCTCTATCAGTGATCTGTGTTTATCTGTCAGGTCCATCAGAGATCTGTGCTGACCTGCAGGAAGGGCTGCTGTGCGAGGAAGAGCTGCAGGACTCGCTCACTGCTGCGGATGCAGACGGACGCTCGCTCAGGCTCAAAGTTTGGACTGAGGAGGTTCTGGAAAGGTTCGCTGGTGACGTCATTCCCCAGTAGAGTATAATAGAAGAAGAACTCTGCGCCCTCGCTGGACAGCTTATTTGAGCTGGAGATCAACTGAAGATCAGGAAAATGTGTTGTTTAGTCATTATGTACATTAAATATGTGCAGATGAGACTGATATACGACAGCAGCTCTTTTCACCTGCTCCAGTTTAGTAGCAAACGCAACCGTTACCGACAGCACAAACATGTTGGTGCAGACATCTTCAGGTCCGATCTGATGAAAGCCTTTTTAGTGTTTAGAACCGCTCTGAGTTCATCAGAGTCCAGAGGAACCAGCGCTGGAGAACCTACAGAGTTTACAGTGACTTCATTAACAAAACAATCATTAGAGTCAACATGAGCGACACTCACAACCAGTTTAAAGGGGTGGTTGACTGTTTTTTTTCTAGGCTTGATTATGTTTAGATTAGATTAGATTAGATTAGATTCAACTTTATTGTCATTGCACATGTAAAGTAGAAGGCAACGAAATGCAGTTAGCATCTAACCAGAAGTGCAATAAGCAGTAAGTACAGGATATACAGTGTCTACAATATGTTACAAATGTACAATAAATATACAGATAAGGCAGTACTATGGACATAATTTACAGATTTTTAAATACTATCAGCATGATATACAGATAGGTATACTATGAACATACTATACATATGGATTATGTAATAAGTGTATGTACACTATAAGCAGAAACTATGAACATATGAACATCATTTACAAATGAATATGTAAGCGATACATTAAGCTGTACAAAACACTAGTGCAATGGAAATTTAAAAAAGTGCATAGAAAATATTGCAGTGTGCAAATGGATCATTCAGTATTCTGGATGAACAGACAGTAGTGCAAGTAATAACAAGTGTAACAGTTTTTTTTTTGTTTGTTTTTTGTTTTTTGTTTTTTTGTAAACCAGATGTAGTGATGAGGTGAGATGTGAGGAGTGTGTAGTGTAGTGTAGTGCTGGGCGAAATCAGACACGCTCATTTTCTCAGACGCTTGCAGAAAAAGGCTTCCCAAAACAAAGTTACTGGGTTAATCTTTTTCACGTTTCCTTGGTTGGTAGATGCACCGTGGACCTGATTATAGCACTTACAACCTGGAAAAGTCAGATTTTCATGATATGTCACCTTTAATGCTTCGTTTTTAAAAACGCTCTGATGATTTTATGGTTTAATGAAACCCCTCCCTCAGAAAGACGCGATGGGCTCAGATTGGTTAGCTGGCGCAGTGTGTTGTAATTGGCTAAAACGCCAGTTCGTGATTTTTTGTGCACCCCTAGATTTTAACGGCATGGCAACAACTCTTCCTCTTCAAGAGCTCCAGACTAACTATTTTTATAGGAGCACTGTAGCCCCTGTCTGAAATTTTTTAGGAGCACAAGCAGAAAATTTAGGGGCACACCTTAAATCAGCCTGCAATGCAATACTTCACATATTTTCCCTATTTTCCCCATTTTAACTGTATTACTGACAAATGCTTTGATAATAAATAGACTTAACTCATAGAAATTACAATGTACAGTATTCTTTTAATTTCAGAGGGCTATGACAAATATATATATACTATTGTTTTGCATTAATTGCAGTTACTAATAATTAGAGATTGACCGATATATCGATTTACCAATATTTTTCCCGATATTTAAGAATTTGACTATAATCGGATATCGGTTTTGTAGTATTGGATTCACCGATAAACGTCTCCATCATCTAAATAAATACAACTGTATGGAAATTATTTTCTCCGCGAGCGATCGCGAGTTTTAGTTCTGTGTAAATCCATAGATAAACCACGCTGTCAGCAGGCAGTTCATAATCTAGAACGACAAAAACATATGAATAATTCTGATATAACATACCAGTTGAGAAATGCAATAAAATATGATGTTTTGTTTGTTATATTCCAATATTCCAGAGAATATTATTCAGTGAATTAACACTATCCAGTGAATTATTCTTCACTCTTATCCTATTAAACAGCTTATAAACCTACTAAAAGTGTAGTTTAAAATGAAGTTCATATAACTCCGGTCCTTTATTTATTTTCACAAAATCTGATTTCTTGATTTTTTTTATAGTTGCAAAATATAAAGGAAAAAGTATAAATGAATGACTAATAAGCAAATAAGTGCTCCTCTGCCGCCATCTACAGGTTATAATGGTGATTTGATGTATTTTTTAATTTTACACAAGTGTTTGTTCACCACAGTATATTTTGGTCATCCCATTGAAAATAACATTCAAATTGGATCATGTAGGAGCTTTAAAGTGTTGGAAACAGTTGTGTGAAATGCTTGTAAGTTATTGAAAATTGCTTGAATTTCTCTCTCAAAAGGCTGTACAAACCCTGAAATGAACAATGTAATAACATTGGAGTATTTTTTCCACATCACCATGGTTACAGTTAGTGTTACTGCTTCTGGTTTTCTACGTCAGCGCTGTTTGATCGGTTTATAACAGAGATTTCTGTGCATAATTTGAATGCTTCTCACTGGATCTCGCAGCACTGTGCTGTAACAGTGTTGCGAAATCAACTTTGGTTCCCGAGTAAAGCTGTTCTGAGCTCAGACAAGTTTGTTTGCGTCGTGGTCCGAGCTGATAAACAATCCGTGCTGCGCAGCTCAAACGAGTAGCGGGATTTTGTTACACTTTTGTTTCGTTTGCCGTTTGATGTTTCTCATATGCAACAGAAATGGCAGCACGAGTGCAACCACTCACAAAATTTACTCGCACCGGCAGAAAAAATGGTCGCAGTCTGGAGCCCTGTCTTCTCTAAAGCAGCGCAACATGGCCCCGCCCCCTTTGTTGCATGCTTCCGGGGGCGGGGTTTATGTAAATTTCAGGGTTTGTGATGTCACCAACCTGGGAAGTAGCTCGTTGTAGTCCCTACGAGCTATATTTGTAGGCATTAAACTGCCATAATTTTAAAAGACAATATCTCCGTTTGCATTGAACTTTCAGCGTCGTAACTTTGCAGATATTGTTTACGCTCAAACAGCAACATTACACACTAAGTGAAATCACAATCAACCACCCCTTTAAGGTTCATCACATTAACCAGCATTAAATTACTGTGTAACTATTGACATCTCCTACAATCACAGCCTAAAACAATGACTGCATAGATATTTTACTGCTAGTTAACCAATTAGCATTGACCAATAGCAAACCAGTGTTGCTTTAGTATTATTTTTATATGGTCATATGTTTTTACTTATATTTTCAATTAGCTTTTATTTTAATAATTTTACTTATCATTTTTATTTTAGATACATTTTTAGTAATTTTATTTGTGCTTTTGTCCATTTTATTATTATTATTTATTTATTTTTTTTTAAATATTGCTATTTAGGTTTAAATTTTTTTATAATTCTGTTTTTGGTTATATTTATTTCCAGTTAGTATTTTGTAACCAATATATTGATCAACTTTTCACACAAACTATGAATTACACATCAATAAAAAACATTAATTCACAAAAGAGAGAGAAAAATAAATAAAAATATATCAGAAACTATTAGAGCCCATTTTAGCATATCAAAATACATTAATTCAGAAAAAACATTTCAAGAAAGAGAGAAAATAAATAAATAAAATGTTAGTTAGTTAATTAATTAATTTAAAATACCACTGAAACTGCAGGATCCCATATTACATAATTTAAAAATTTAGTAATTTTCATTTTAATTTTTAATGTCATTTTCATTTTTTTTTTCTAATATTTATATTATTTTATTTCAGCTGTTAAATTGTTTTTGTGGTGGAGAACGTTTTTTCATTTTGGTAAAAAAAAATTCAAAAACAATAATTTAAGAATTTCTTTTTATTATTATTTGGAATAAATGCAGCATTATTATTATTTTTTTTAATGCTGATTTTAACAACGGTGCCTTACAAGACGGAACTGAAGCAGCACTGACCTGAGACACCGTGTGGAAAAACAAACATGCATGTTGAACATGAAGCTTTGAAGCCCATCAACAGAAGCAGAGAACAGGAGGAGAAATGGAAAATGGAAAGGAAAAAGGAAAGAAACCAGAAACATCAGATGTGCGCATCAGTGTAAGAAAGAGCGGAGCGTCAGGTACCTGGTCTCAGCGGGGCTTTCTTTGCTTTGAACTGCTCAGCTGTTGGTTTGGTGTCGTTCTCTAAGATCACGCTGATCAGAAGAGCAGGTTTCAGTTTTGTGTACTTACTACTGAGCAAAGAATGCCATTTAGGAGCCTGAAGAACACATAGAAGAATTTCAGATAAGCCAAAACAACCGAATAGTTTGAACAAAATAAAGCCGGCTAATAAGACGCTTTTAAATTATGTAAAACCTTCATGTACACTACCGGTCAAACGTTAGATTTTTAATGTTTTTGAAAGAAGTCTCTTCTGCTTTCCATTGATTTGATCAAAAATACTGTAAAAATTGTGAAATATTATTACAGTTTAAAACAGTTGTTCTCTATGTGAAAATCTGTTAAACTGTAATTTATTTCTGTGATCAAATCTGTATTTTCAGCATCATTACTCCAGTCTTCAGTGTCACATGATCTTCAGAAATCATTCTAATATGCTGATTTGCTGCTCAAAAAACACATTTATGATTATTATCAATGTGGAAGCTGTGATACACTACCATTTAAAAGTTCAGGATATGAAAGATTAAAAAAAAAAAAAAAAACTATTAATCAAGCATGCATTAAACTGATGAAAAGTGACAGTAAAGACGTTTATAATGTTGGAAAATATTTCTATTTCAAATAAATGCTGTTCTTCTGAACTTTCTATTCATCTGTGAATCTTGAAAAATAAAATTAATCACGGTTTCCACAAAATTATTGGGCAGCACAACTGTTTTCAACATTGATAATAATCAGAAATCAGCAGAAAACAGTTGTTTTAAATAAGAATAATATTTCACATTTTTACAGCATTTTTGATCAAATAAATGCAGCCTTGCTGAGCAGAAGAGGTTTCTTTCAGAAGCATTTCAAAATCGTAATTATTCCAAGCCTTTGAATGGCAGTGTAGAAGAGCACTGGCACGTTAATATCAGAAAGCAGACGATCTGACCTGTTTGATCTCTTGCACTGATCTCAGATCGAGGACGATGTATTCCACACACTCTCTCGCAGACGTGCCGGAGTCGACGGCGTAACACTGTAATTTGATGGGTGTTCTCTGGAGTCTGTGGGAGAAGCAGACGACACTGAGTGAGAGTGAAGCACTGATTGAGGCTCGTCATGTTGAGCTGGATCAGACGAGCAGAACTCCTTCGAAACTTTTGTGAATCATTTGTTTCGAAACAGTGGTTCGGAGCACGTATCAAACTGCCAAAGTCACGTGATTTCAGTAAACGAGGCTTCATTACGTCATAACTGTTTCCAAACGTTTTGAAATGTCAATGGTTTGACATTCAGCGGCAAAGCACTGAACCAGTGACACGCTGACTTTACCGATTAGCGATTGGCTCTTTCATTCAGAAGGCGGGGCTTCCTGCGATTGAGCGGCCATATTGAGCGTTGCGAGTGACACATCTTGGGTATTCTATAGTCTTTGACCAGTGTCTATGGTTTTTACCTGATCGGATCAGTTTCATCGATTTGTAGTAGGGATGTCAATTTTGGATTATTTCCATGATCGATCGCCATTTAAATTAACGATCAATAGGGCTATCAAAAAAAAAAAAAAGAATTTCGAATATTCGTCGAATTTAAAATAAAAATCCACATTTGAATGCAGGCTGTCTTATCAGTGGCGCACGACATGCGATTACGATGTAAGTGTCGTTGCATTATTATGTGTTTGTTAGCCTATCCAGTTGAAGCCACTAGATGCGGCGCTGCTGCGTTGTTCATTCAAAATATTGCGGAAAAAGAGAACATCAATGCGGAGAAGATGTTGTTTGCATCAAAACTGAAACCAAGCCATTCACACAGAATGCATATTTATCACATTTTCTAGACGGACATCTATCAGCGTTGCACTCGCGTCTCGCACAAGAGAGCCGCATGTTTAGAAAGCCAGCAAGTTCAACTTTGAAAAAACATGTCTCGAATTTATGGCGGTTTTTCCCCATCCCACTGCATCTCATGTTTTTAAATGGAAAAAGTACTCTTTATGATTGGTTTTTGGTCCTTTGTATTAAACTATGCATACATGATGCTGTTTTGTTTCTAATTGTTTAAGCAACTTAATTAATTATATATGGTTTATAAACATTAATTTAAACATGATGCACTTTTTTCAAAGATAGTCTGTTATTTTATTGCTTTGAAGAAACGTGCATAATTAATATTTTGCTCGATGCGCCCTCTTGTGGCCTCAGGAGAGAAGCCAAAAGCTTTTTCCCCCAAACTGAAATTATGCCTTTTAAATTCGAATATAATTTGAATATTGATAATATATAAGTACAAAATTCGAATTTAGTTTTTCAGCAATTTTGACAGCCCTAACGATCAATTAATCGATTAATCGTTAACCTTAATACTGCAAAATGCATTAATTGCAGTGGCATATAGTCCCCGGCATGACAGCATGTGCAAAAGCCACTCAAAACGCAGGCTTCCTCGCCCGAATTAAAGGGGTTTTAATCTAAATAAAAGGCTAGTAGCAGGACTGTAAAATGAATAGATGTGATTATGATCATTTGATAAAATGAAGAGAGTGTGCCGTAGTTACGTTTGGGATCATTTTACTTTGTTTCATATCCCGGCAAAACACTGCTGCTCACATTAAACATATTAATGTATGACAAGTGAGGTACAAAGCTTTGTTTATAAGAGAAATAATGGGTTAGCAGGCAAATGTTGTGACCATGCTTTTGCATTCATGCTGTTCGATAGGCTACATGTAAAGACATACGCGGCTGATTGTTTTTGTTTTGCCTGTTGGTCACGAATTTAATAATATTTATTGTTTCTTTTCCCAAATCCTCACCATATCACCCTCTAATTTTGCAGGTTTATTTTATTGTC